CACCCACTCACCCAACCACCCACCAAACCGCACACCCAACCAACCAAGCAACCAGCCACAAAACCACCCATCCATCCGCTCAACCACCCAACCAACCACCTAACCCAACCCCCAAACACCCAACCACCCAACTAACCAACCAACGTACCACTGTTCGTTATTATTATTATCATTATTTGCAGCCGCGAGACTCGACTCATTGTGTCCGTCGCTTATCGTACGCATTGTATTGCCGTCATCTTTGGTACTGTCAATAATTGCCACATTCACTTATTCGACTCTGTGACACAACATGGACGACGTAGTCGTTGTTGTGAACGAGGTTGTGGATTGAAAGGAAATCGCCGTGCGACAGACAGTGTGTGAGCGCGATACTGAAAACGAAAGAGACTTTGAATACAGGGAAGGGGTTGTCGCCACGAAAACACGTGTGTACTACACGTTCATCGATGACACCCTTGCTTTGAGGGTCGTGGCGCGGCTGGGGTACGATGACCATGATTGCTTTGATGAGGTAATAATGCAGGTTGTAATGCACGCAAAAAAACTTTCGGATGTCGTTCCCGACGCGTGCGAACCCCCCGACTTCGATATGATTGGTCATTTGCTAAGGCGCATCGTATCAGTCGTTGCGGTCGAGCATGTGGAAAGGTTAGCACGCAACGCATGGTATTTCTCCAAACTCAATCGCCCGCTGCAACGCCGTAGTTTTCTCCACAGAGATGTGCGCAGTGTGTTGCCAAAGGACGGTTGCGGACAACAGTGCGAAAGTGTCAACGAACCATCGTCCCGCTCATCTCATGCGTAGTCCGAAACAGGTGGGTTGAGGAACAAAATCCTAAGGGTTTTCAACATTCGATAGTTTTCGGGACCGTGACTACCCGCTCCTCCCATATATATGTATAAAGAACGTTCTCCCTCCCTGTACGGTACATGTAGAACATCATCAATGCGTTATTCTTTGTTCGCTCATTGGGTTCATAACTTACGGTGTCGCTTTCTGTGAATTGCAGCAGTTTCCATACGCCAGACGAAAGAAGCGACGATGCTTTGCGCGCTAATCATTTTCCGAGGTTACCACACCACAAAACTGACAAGCGGCGACACCGTATACTATTACGAATCAATGACTCCTGTAACAGATCCTGTCGGCGATGCAGTGGGGTACCGCAATAGAGACAAGATGGTGGATCGTCATTTCGTTGTCAGCGTCGAGGAGGAACGAGTCGTCAAACTCACTACAAAGACTTATATTCGTGACCACGCCATCGAACACATTCGTGTGTTAATGTCTAAGCCGACTACGTACTTTAGTACTCGTTCTCAAACCGGTCGATGGTGATCTGATGTATGATATCGTCTACCCCCTAGTGCATCGCATACTATACACTCACTACGGGACGATCGCTCGGGACGGCGTCTGGCGCCTGGTCGTGTCACCGCCTTATTTTGTGTTCAATGGCGATGATTTCTCAGCCATGTTCTATCCTTGCAGTGGTATCCGGCGATGAGTACCATTCGTTTTTTTTGCTATGTTTCTTCCTTGTTGGAGAGAGAGAGACTGATGGTTTCAATGATGGTACATTTCTTGTATACATATGCAATCGTCATCTCCCATGTGTTTGTTATATGTTTTCGGTTTTTTTTCTTCACCTGCTTTGCGTTTTAAAATATGTTTTCGTTTTCGTTATGTGGAGACACAGTACTAAGGTAATCGGTGCTCGTAATGTTCTGTTTTGTAGATTTCTAAAAATTAACACATAAGCGATAAAACAATATTCACCCTTTCCCAGACATGGACCCCCGACGAGGCAGGGCTGGCGTGCGGGCCAACGCAGTCGTATTTGAAAATGGCACAGATACTGATCATTTCTGCGACGAGGAGCGGACATTCACCGAGATTAGGAGTCGGTGGTCAGGATCCGCAGCGCTTTTGGAAGAGGCTGTAACTTTTGCAGGGCTAAAGGAGCATCTGCAACAGTGCATGAATCTGCTTATTGGTCGTGCAATTCTCAAACCAAAGCAGAATCGTTACAATGGGTATGTCGCTTTTTCTCGGCTGTGCGGGTTCGTCGTTTTCCGACAGAGATTGCCAGATGAATTCCCAACGGCAATGCGGGAACGATGGCCAGATATAATCATTCGAGGTTTTGAACTACGACAATGTGATCCTCCATAAAACGCGCGCCCACGTCGACGTGCACGGTGGTAAATGCTTCACAACACGAAAGATCGAGAGATAGATAGATAGATAGATAGATAGATAGATAGATAGATAGATAGATAGATAGATAGAGAGAGAGAGAGAGAGAGAGAGAGAGAGAGAGAGAGAGAGAGAGAGAKAGAGAGARAGAGAGAGAGTATGATTGCGAGTATGCTTGCCTTGAGTGTGACTACGTATGTTAGTCCGACTGTGTGTTTGTCTTGAGTGTGTGTGTGATCGTAACCGTAAGCGTGGGGGTTGCTTTTTGTGTGCTCCGTAACGGCCTGTGCTTGTTTGACAGGCCATCAGGGCGGGTACTTACCTATTGTCGTGACTTACAGGAATTGCATTATGTCAAATTTGGTTTTCCTAGTGTACATCATCTTCTTCTTCTTATAATCCTTGATCTCTCATTTCAAGTTATTTTTTATTTATTTTTGCAATTGTATGTCCTTGTACTATTATTGGCTATGGACTCTGAGCGATTATAATCCTTGCTCTCGCCACTTGAGTTGATTCATTCATTCTTGTAACTGGATGTCGTTTTATTATTGGATCAACGTGTAACTCAGAATTGGTTCGGCTATATAATGTCAAACAACTATTGCCTAAGAGCGTAAGCATGTGAATTACATGAAATAAGATGGGCGAAAAAAAACAGCAATGAAAGGACAGACAGGCAAAGAGAAATACAAACTAGAATCACACAAAATCATGTCCTTATATATATATATATATATATATATATATATATATATATATATATATATATATATATATATATATATCGTCACAAACAGAACTGCCCGGTAAATTGTAGGCAGAGAGAGAGAAAAAGACAACAAACGAGGGGCTGTGACAAACTGTTTCGTAGGAGTTTCACCGACTCATCAGGAGGCTGAACCCTATATAAAACATAAAAAAAATAGGAAATAATATAGCGTAACAAACAAGACACCATGAGATGTGTGAGAACAACGCCGTGCGCAATAATTTTCGGATCAGTAGATCAATGTAAGGTCAACGATAAAGCCATTCAACCAGTCAAACGCTGAACAACTCTATATCGTCACCCTTAGATTCCGAGCTCAATGTCGGGACCCAATCATCGCATGCAGGCACCACATCGTTCTCCACGTGACCGACGATGAAAACACGGTTCTCCCCCACTGCCTCATGGTCGGAACCGGAGACAGCATCATCAATAACTTCCAGTGGGTCGCCCCCACCATTGGCGAACAGATCGCGCAACAATGGCCCGACTCTATAAGGACAAACCTCCTGTCGCAAAAGCTCTCGAGCGAAGTCCGAAACACGAGCGGAACCGAACACGGATGCCGACAACCTGTCCTCCCAAGAGTCAATCGCCTCCTGACCGTAGTGTCAACGAAAGCTTGGTCTCGGACGTATGGAAGTGTCCGCAGCTATGCGAGCAACGTACCCGACTGGGTCGCGCCAGGAGCGACTGTTCCACCAAATCACTGCAATCGATAGACGCGCACAGTAAGACTTCTCGAAATGCACCGACTTCTTCGCATAGATGATGATGGTGCCCTGAAAAGTCTCCACCGCCGATGTGTGCCGAAACTCGACGTAGTACGGCGTGATCTTAGTGCTGCATTGTTTCCCGAGAACACACAGAACGCGCTCGTAGACCGTGTCCGTGCGGCTATACAAAGGCAATCGTGCAGGTTCACCGGCCTTCTCGCACAGAACCTCTCTACCGCCGACACATCCCGAATGATCACCAGCCCAATGATCGGTGACCAACATGATATCACGGTGTAGACTGCTGGCGTCTCCACCCTCCTCCCTTCACAGCTGACAAGCGCGGAGGAACCATATCCCAACCTCATGCGCATGATACTCTGTCAAGCCGTCAAGATCAGTCTCCAACGCTCGAGCGTTCGACCTCGATCCGTAGGGGTACATCTTCCGCATGACGACAGCGACGAAATCCGATTTTTTCACCCGCTCCTCAACAGGTGTGAGGACGCCAGGTTTGAAACGCTGCTCCAACGCCTCCATCAGCCGCTTCTTCGTAAACTGCATAAACTGCGCCTTTGACACAAACTCGTGCGGGTTACTCACTTTCTTCGCTTCCTTCAGTAGCAACATACTGTGGAAGTGCTTGCGAATGTTTTTTATTTTGTGGTGGCAATCCTTCTGCCACTCGATGTTCAGAGCTCACAACTGCGGTCCCAGCGCGACACAATCATCCGAGACAATGCACCGGATCGTCAACCCCTTCTCCATCAGCCCTCGCAAAAGTTGCACGACGGCTGGCATCTCAAGCGCATTCGACGCCCTGCCTTCGATCTTCGGACGGAGAGTGTGCACACCCACAACAAGCCGGGTCTCGTACTCCATCGCAGTGACAGTGCAATGCTGCGCGCCTCTGGCAGAGTGATATCGACCATCGACCATCAATGTCACTGGCTCACCACGGCGCATCACAGTGTCAATGGCAAGCTCGCAATATTTAATGCCCTGCTGTATGACCTTGGCATTCCACCCCTCTGCCTCCCCCGGTTCTGTGTGCATTAACTTGTAAAACGTGGGTTTGTGCACCGAGCACATCCCTAAACGAACATAAAAATTGTCGAGGAGCATGAACGTAAGGCCGGTGGTGACCGTCGCATGAAAGAGCTGCTGCTGCAGTCGCGACTGATAGACGTTCGTGGTCACGAGTGTCGTGTGCCACGTCCATTTGCATTTCTTGTCGCATACGAACGTCAACTTACAGAGCTGCGCTGGATAAGAGACGGGCTCCACAGACACACGGCACGAGCCCTTGTGCCACGGGCAATATAGATGAAACATGGCCAGCAATTGAAGGACTTTGACCGGCTCCAGAAACACAACATCCGGCGCCGTCGGTCCACTCCATAATGCCATCGCCTCCACAACACTGACACGGTCAGTTTCAGGCCCAGGACCGCACTGGTCAACACCTTCCCAACTGTCCCACCACGTCTGTGGCCGGGTATCAATCAATCGATCAATCAATCAATCAATCAACCAACCAATCACGCAATCAATAATCGATGAATATATTAATCAATCAAGCAAGCAAGCAAGCAATATATTGATTGGATTGATTGATTGATTGATTATTAGTATTTGGGTGGTTGTTTTGTTTTTGTTTGAATATATATACACACACACACACACACACACACACACACACACACACACACACACACACACACACAGTGAGTCCCACGCACAGAGTCACACACACACTCAGTGATCAATCAATAAATCAATAAATCAATCAATCGATCAATCAATCAATCAATCAATCAATCAATCAATCTATTGATTGGATTGATGGATTGATTGATTGTTCGAATGATTTTTTTTTTTTTTTTTTTTTTTTGAACTACTACTGCTGCTACTAGAGAGAGAGAGAGAGAGACCACACACACACACACACAGAGTCACACACACAGTCACACACATACACAGTTGTGAGGAATGAGCCCTCAGAAGGGGGGCCTTGCCGACTTGCATATTTGTAGTAGTAGGGGGGCTCCTCAGGGATTAGCCCTCAGATGGGGAGCCCTCAGATGGGGAGCCCTCAGAAGGGGAGCCCTCAGAATGAGCCCTCAGAAGGGGGGCCCCAGAAGCCTCGTGCCCGCCCTAAGTGCAGGCAAGCCAGACCTGTGACCACCCTAAGTGAAGGCTGTTTAGAATATCCACAAACAGGCCTTTCTTTCAGCATTTTTGTAAAGTGGGTATTCGACAGTTGCAGCACACCAGTTGGTTGGAGTGCATAGTGGACCCATAGTCCTGCGAGAAGCAGTTGAGCCCAGGGCCTCAGTTGGTTGAGCCCTGGGCACAGGGCAAGGGAGGCCGACACATCACACGTTGGACGCCAGACGCCATTCAAGAGAGAGAGCTACATTGGGTTATATTGTTCGTGTTGCCCGATTGGGCTTCGACATTGACTCACGATTCTGTTGTATTGTTCTCAAATGGATGGTTACTCGGTTCCATTGTGCTATCTGTTGTGGTTTTGACTACTTGGACTTCAGTGTGATTTTGAGAATTGGAGTTTTGTGCTTCGTCCATATTCATGTTGCTTGCACAGTCATCAATCAATCAATATATAGATTGGATTGATGGATTGATTGATTGATTGATTGATTGATTACTAGTTTTTTTTGTTTTTTTTTTTTATTGAAGAGAGAGAGAGAGAGAGAGAGAGAGAGAGAGAGAGAGAGAGAGAGAGAG